AAATCACCCATAATTGTGTCATTTGACAACTATCAATTATGCTTGAATATATGGCAAGGTTTTCTTTGCCCTAAATTATCCCTTAGTAAAGAGGGAGTTGCTGTCATTTGAGTCCTTACGAAACCTCTGAAGGTTAGGGGTGCCTTCTCAATTACTTTACTTTGAACAGCGGACTCCTAAGCTATTATCATCAATTAGTACTACTTTTTGGATGCCTATAGGGATTTCCTGACAGAAATGGTAGAAAAAGAGGCAGAGAAATTTAACATAGTTTGGTGTTGGATGCCTTAAAATAAGTCTTTAAATGACCATTTGGTAAACAAATACTAAGCTTTGAGCAGAGGAATGGGACAATCTTTTTGTTGTGTTTTATTTTAAGTAATTAATTATTTAATTTTTTTAGATACGAGGTTTGGCTCTGTTGCCCAGACTAAAGGGCAGTGGTGTGATCATGGCCCACTGCGGTCTTAACCTCCTGGACATGAGCAATCCTCCCACCTCAGCTTCTTTTGTTTTATTAATAAAAGGACCCCTCTGGCTGCTGAGTTGAGAATAGACTCTAGCGGGCAAAAGTAGAAGTAAGAATACCTGTCAGTATGCCTGGTGCAAGATGCTGGCAGTGGTAGTGGATGTGTTGAGAAGTAGTCTGATTCTGACTATATTTTGAAAGTAGAGCCAACAGAATTTTTTTTTTTTTGGTTAGATTTGGATGTTGGATACGAGAAATTTATTAAATCAAGCACCCTTCACCTTCCTTTACCTGACAATTTCTCTTCTAAAATTTAGTTTAATAAAACAATTATATGTGCAAAGATGTTTGTAAATATAGGAACAGTTACCATAGTAATATATCAGTAATGAGGATTTAAAAACAAGTGAATAATAATAGAGACTTGGCCAGATAAATGTTGTTAAGTCATTTCAGTAGAGTATGATGCAGCCATTAAAATGATCTACATGTATGTTTTTGGGCAAGGAAATGCATTGCAAATAAATTTTCAGTTTTAGTTTTTGTATGTATTTTGCTGGGAATTTGAAGTTTCTTTTTTTGTTTTTCAAAATGTATTTTGAATACTGGGGGTATTTTAATGGGAAGACATTAGGGGATATCAGAAACTCTTGGTTGCTGCTTTAGTCATGTAGACACCTTGCATGTTGACTTTTGATTGGTGAATATTTTGTGTCTCTGATCTTGTTTTCCTACAGTTGAATTGTTGATAAGGTAATTTTTTTTTTTTTTTTTTTTTTTTTTTTTTTTTTTTTTTTTTTTTTTTTTTT